ATAGCGCCCGCCACCCATCATACACATACCTAGTTTGTAATAGCGCCCGCCACCCATCATACACATACCTAGTTTGTAATAGCGCCCGCCACCCATCATACACATACCTAGTTTGTAATAGCGCCCGCCACCCATCATACACATACCTAGTTTGTAATAGCGCCCGCCACCCATCATACACATACCTAATTTGTAATAGCGCTTTTCTTTAAAAATAAATGTTAATAGTTGACACAACCAAGTTTTCTTCGACTTAATAAAATCTACAATGGTCAGTAGGGCTGGACATACGTTACTTGATAGGGGATTATTTTTTTGAATTTCGTCCCAGCTACAGCGTGAACTAGTCGCGTTGTGGAAACCCACTGTGGAATCCCTCTTATAGAGCGTCCGACGCTTTCCCGGGATGGGTGGGGAAGATATTAGGACGTAAATTTTTCCATCCCAACTCCTGAGAAAGTCGATCGAGTGCACTATTTAAACGCATAGTGTCGGATGGACCGGGTGCCTCCTGGTTGGGGCGGCCCCCAGGCGGGGTCCTGGTCGAGCGCCCAGGGGCCCAGGCGGGGGACTTGGGTGAGGGGCCCATGTGGGGGCCGTCCTGACGAGTGGGCATCTCCAATGTGCCGCTCCGCGGCCCAATACGTAGGACCGGGGAGGGGTAATTTGGGGGGGGGGGCATAAGAGTCTAGACTCGCCCCGCTGACGTCATTTCTTAATGTAACATCTCGGAAACGAGTCTACCAGTCAGGTTTTAGCTCGGTAGGTTGACCGGAAGTGGGTCTATACGCCACCAGAAAATTTTGCAACACACTCAGCCAGAAAGATACATGTGGATGGGATCGAAGTTAATTTAAAGGGTTGAATACAATGGTGTGGTAAATTATAAACAAAAGAAAAACAATCATTCGACTATGAATGCACGTCTTAAAAACATAACTTAATGTGTTTGACACACACTACACCGAAATCAATTCAAACACCTCTCGAAACGTACGAGTTGGGGGGGGGGGCGGAATTTCCAAAAAGCTTTATTTAGAAAAAGAAAACGATTTAAAGAAAAACCTTACCGGCGATAAGCTATTTAATCCACGTATCAGGCAAATCGTAATGCTTCTGGGACTACAAAATCGGGGTTTCTCATTCTAGTGTAGTGCATCTCATTTTATAACGACTCTATGAGAATAATTAAGAGGTAAATGAAATGTAAACATTTACAAATATTTATTCCTTAGCTAATTTAGCCAGATAATTTTTTAGCTTTAAATTCCTGGCGAAAATCGTATGAATTTCCACGAAAACAGTTTGTCCTGACAAAATCCTAATTTATAGTTTGTTGTTTTTGAACTTGTTCCTAAAGAAGAGCAACGAACCAAAGTTTTCATTAACTTTCATTTTTCTATTACTCTTTCGAGACATTGAAAGACTTTCTAACCAACTTCTTTTGTCTTGAGAAATACAACAAAAATATTGATATTACTTTAAAAAAAAAAAAAATCAATTTTTAAAAAGCAGGAATTTGCAACTATAAATTTAAAATATTTGTTTTAAATATGACTGACAGTTTGAAATTTTGGGGTAAAACGAAAGCCATGCACTTACAACTAATAGTTGAGGTCACAGACAACCGTTTTTGAACCACTGAGACAGGAAATAGGCTACTCCCTGGCTGTTTTTTTTTTTTATCGAGAAAGAATTGAAGGTAACACAGGTGTCACTCACATTCGTTGACTGCACCGATCCAGGTCAGTGTGGATTTTTAATTGTTTGAAAGTTTTTTTTTTGTTAAAGACAAATTCACAGTTATAGGGGTAATAATAACTTCAAATAATTAAATAAATATTGGTTCGACTTTCACAATCATTATTGCATTCTAACTTGCTAAAATAATGTATTATTCGATAATCAAAACTATTCAATTAGTTGTTTGTTTGTTTCTAAGTTGTTGCTTAAAAAACAAAAAAAGCAACATGCATGCAAAATGGCATTTAATCTTTAAATAAATTTACAGTAGTTCAACATTTCCGGATAATTTTCAATGGGACTGAGGAATCGTCCATTAATAACGTCGCCGTCTCGTTACAATTTCATCCCATAATTTTAAAAACTAAAAATAGATCGTCAAATATTCGTGACCCGTTCCCACACCACTTTGTTTCTTTATTTTAATTTTTTTTAAATTTTTTTTTTTTTTTTAAATAATTATGTGACGTTATTTAAAATGCCGAAATTTGATTAAATAACTATTGACATAAGAATACATATTTTAGGTTTAAAATATTGGCGTAGCTAGTGTAAGTGCCGACAAGATGGCGTAGCTGGAATATTTTTTCTGGTGGCGAGCTAGGAATGTGCCCCTCCCACCCTCGAAAAAAAAAATCTACCGTTGACCAAAAATTAAAGCTTTTCCAAAAAAGAAAAAAAGTGCCACTAAGGCAGGACACCCTAAAACGCTTTTGATGATGATGATGATGATTGATTACTTTTTTTCCCATGCCCTTTTAGCATTCCCTTTATTTCTCGATGGTCTAACATTTTATGAGCTAAACCTAATTAATTTATGGTGATTATTTTTCAAGCGAATTATACAAATTTATACTATATTTGGAGTGAGGGAGAGTGAGCAGTCATTGCTCCAACACATGAGCAGCTAGCTCCATCTTCTTGACAGTGTCATACGACGTAATGCTATCAAAGGACTCGCCTACCGCCTCTGACATCAGCATGTTCAAGTTTGGGGCTTGAAGTCAATATTTGTTGGAAAAGTAGCCAAAGGGTTTCACTATGTTGTTCAATGGGAATTGTGTAAGGGCTGCTTTGCCACAAATAATTTTCAGCATAAATTATTAACCATTTCGACGTTGAATCTATTCTAAAAGTTATTACAAAGATTGACTCAACGCCTTTTACCTCCAGCTAACTCCCCCATACCACAATAATATCTCCTCATTAGGCAATAATATTTTACCATACCACAATAATATCTCCTCATAAGGCAATAATATTTCACCATACCACAATAATATCTCCTCATAAGGCAATAATATTTCACCATACCACAATAATATCTCCTCATAAGGCAATAATATTTCACCATACCACAATAATATCTCCCCTCCTCATCCTCCTCATCCTCATGTCCCTTAGTCCTTGGACCGTTGGGGCGCCACAGATGACATGTGAACCATCCTCCTCCATTCCTCTCTGTCTTCAGCACTACGCACTGCATCGCCCTGTGTTAGTCCTGTCAACTCTTTGATGGTATCCTCCCATCTTTTTCTTTGTCTCCCTCTTCTTCTCCGTCCTCTTGTGGTGCCCTGCAATATTTCTTTGGCAAGCCCTTGTTTCCTTTTTACGTGGCCGTACCATTGTAATTTGCGTTTTTTACAGTCACCAGTAGGCAATCGTACTCCCCAATTGCCCATACCTCCCCATACCACAATATTATCTCGCCAATACCATAAAGATATCTCTCCTTAATACAATAATATTTCACCATACCACAATAATATCTCCCCATACCACAAAAATTTCCATCCATATCACAATAATATCCACCAATCTACAATAATATCTCCCCAATGCACATTATATTTCTTCATACGACAATGATGTTTCCGTATACCATAAGTCTCCAAATATTACAAAAGAATCTAACCATTATTTCAGCCTTCAAAATGGATCAAGCCTATTCCAATCATTGGATTCACGCTGGTGCTGATTCTGTCTTTTTCTGTTATGCCCATTGGCAGATGCGAACGATTATGGCAATAAATATTCTTGAACTTTATAAGATAAGATAAGATACTTTTATTGATCCAAATAAATGGAAATGTACGCAAGGTACGGATAGGACATCCCCATCACTAGACATGGGTCTTTCTGGATTGTCTATTGTGCTCTGGCACAGCTGTTATGTTGCCTCCGTGTTGCGTGTCTTTCTTTACAGAGGAACGCCCGATCCCATGCTGATTTTCCCATGAATCTTGGTTGATATCAAACCCTTTAAATGTATAAGGCGTTTCGTCTGTGTACCAGCAAACCGCCTTCTATACTCTAGCACACCGTATCATATGCTTTTTGCGCAAGCGGTGATGGGACTACAGTAAAATGGTATGGATGCTGGATCTACCAGTCTTTCCGACTACCTTAGTGTCTGGGGAACCTGTCCTGCTTTTGATCTTGCGATCTGTCTGTGGGGGTTACTCTGTGTCTTGGACCTTGTCTTTGCATCGAATACATCGAATTTGTTCTGGCGCCTGCCCTTTGAAAGTGGTTGAACTTTCTGTCACTGCGTTGACAGACCACCCGAATTTCAAATGCATAGGAAAGCTCACGGAGCACAGCCTCCTTAAAAAACTTTAAATTAATTAGAATTTTGATATCTTTCGTGTTCCATAAACATTGCCATAGGTTAAACTTGCTCATGCAATAAACAGGTTAACCTCGTCATCGATGGTTAAGCTTTGGAAAAAATTACTGCCAAGTTAAGAGAAGCTGCTACGACATTAATTATTACATTAGGTTACCATCATTTCCGCATCTGATAGAGATTCCTCTCCCCTGGCAGAATCCCTCAGCATGACGGAAAAAATGAGGCGTAAAGTGTTTGTGTCATGAAGCAACCTTGTTTCACGCCATCAGCCACAGGAAATGTTTAGACGTCTCTCCGTTTCCCCAGAAACTAGCCTGCATACCATCACGGAATTACAAGAGCAATGACAATGTCTGGCAGTAGTTTAAGAATGTATTGGCCAGTGAAGATATCAGAACTCAAACTAAAAAAAATATATCCAAGTTGGCTATGCTCTTTGCACATGGTGTATCAACGCTTTGCAAGAAAGTTTAACTCTTCTTTTTTTATACGACAAGCCTCAGAAAAAGAATTATTCACGCCATACACAGGACAAAGTCCCAGAGACTGGCGTACTCAGATAGGCATGCCTGCCAAGCATTTTCTCAGTAGTCTCAGGTTAACTGGGCGGGACGTGATGTCAGAATGTATGATGACGGCTTGCGGTGAAGAATATTCTATTTATAGCAGCAGCGTGGAAGGTGGTTTGCTGATGGGCGGTAAAAAACGCCTTAAAGACAACCTAAGAGCCTCACTGAATGCGTTAGATATACGCCCAGACACACGGAAAGAATAGGCAAAGAATCAAGTATCGTGCCGTTTCACTTTACATGATGGCTACTTACAACATGAGGTCAACAGATTAGAAGCTTTCACTTGGCACCTGGAGATGTCCCATCAATCCTTTGAACTCATTGCACAAGAAAATGTCATGACAGAACCGCTCTCATCAGCAGCCTGAACACCGATAGCCAAGATTAGACCTAGTTGTATGATGATTTAAACTTTTACTTACTTCATTTCATATTACACCGAAAATAATATGCACAAAACGAATAGAACACAAAGTTCATGAGCCCAAATCTAGCAAATAGGCGGCACAAATAAAATATGATAATTAGCCAATAAATGTATTTTTAAAGTTGTAATTTATCAACGACTACAATTTTAATACAAAACATGCCATCAGGCTCTAAAAATAAACAAAGGAAAGTGACTCCCACACGTAAACACCCAAAAGACGCCATGGCATTCGTCCTTTACATTAGCCACGTAGATGATATTTTTATATATCTTTGTTTTTTCATTAATTTAGTATGCTTGAGTAACTGTAAAGTAACACCCTGGGATTTGCTTTAAAATTAATAATAGTTCATTAAATTTAAAACTATTACGAAAATATGTTTCTCTTTACAGTGAAATTGATGAAGGTGACTTTGATTTAATTGAAAGGAAAACCAAAAACACAATGGCCTATGTAACAGAGGCAGGGAGTTTGAATATTATTTACATCATCCTCATACTGCTGTCCAATGGTTTTCTAATATTCAAGAATGTCCGTAAATGTGATTTTATGTACAAGCCAAAAACTCTGACAATTTTATCATTGGCCATTGGAGATGTCAGTATGGCTCTGTTTCCCATGGTTGTGGCCACACAATATTTCTTTGAAGTTGATTTAAAAACTTTAGGCTCATCAAAAGATTATTGCCGTTTATTTAATTTTTCTAACATTTACCAGGAAAATCTGATTACCTTCGTGTACGGTCTTGGATTAATGGTATTGGGATTACAAACAATTCAACACCACAGGATATCAAAGTTAAGAAAACAATCCAAAATCATTTGCTCCATGGTTGCCAGCAGCACTCCATGGATGCTTGGACTTAGCATTATCTTACCTCTTGGTTTGGCTAACAATTTATCTGACAGTTGCATTGACACAATTAGTTCAGATCAGCAGAAAGCCTTGCTAGTTATAAGCATTATTCTACCAGCATGGGGTGCCCTCATTACCATCATATTTACTACTATTTCTGTCAAGTGCAAAGTCAAAGTCCCAAACCATCAGGCAGTGAGCAACAACCCGCAAAACATGGCTACTCTCAATGTTCAAAACTCGGCTGATGAGAATAATCCAAAAGTTCACCAACAAGAACCGATTCCAACAGATCCAGACAATCAATATCTACAACCTTTAATGGATGACGGGTTAGCTGTTTCGAGTCGAGCACACCATCGTCACAGTCCACAACAGCTTTACAATCTACCAACAACACAGCTGTGTGCGCTACCAACTCGGCCACAATACAAAAGCCAACCTGGTCATTTAGTGGCCGCTGCCAATCCAATGGAACCGGCATTTACATCAGAGGAAGTCACGTCACAGGAAGTCACGTCACAGGATGTCACATCCAACTCAACGCATAAGGTTGCCAGACTTCTGGTTATTTCATTGGTCTATTTTATGCTAGTAACTCCTGCTGCTTTTGTCAAGATTCACATTTTAATGAACAAGTTCGAAAATAACTTAGAAGATTTACTGGCGGCTCATGTTGCACTTGAAGCTCTATCTTTTCTCCCTATAATCAGATCTTTCATGACACCGATAATTATGTTTGACTATTCTGATAACTAAAGGTTTATCATGTACTGTTCATTTTGTTTTCTTTCATGGTAATGTCCGTACGACTAAATGCAATTTTTACTCTTTTTTTTCGCCTAGTGTGTTCACAAATTGATTTTTTCCTAATAAAATCTAGAGAATAAGAGGAATGTGTTAATTTTGTATTATAAAGGGATTTTTGAAAATACAACCTAATTGAAATGCATATGGTACAACATATATAACATTAGTTTGTCACAACATACAAATTAGTTTTGGCACAACACACAAATTAGTTTTGGCACAACATACAAATTATTTTTGGCACAACATACAAATTATTTTTGTACGACATACAAGTTAGTTTTTGTTATACGTGGTTCGTAGCCGATTTGATGACATTCCCCACTTAATCAAGATACAATTCTGACCTTCACTCACGGGATAAGCCCATATGAATGTTTAAACAGCTTAACACAATCGCCTCACAATAACAAAGGATAATGATCAATCTCACCAGCAAGTAAAATCTAAGATTTTCTCGTGTTGTGTAGCTGGTCTGTCAAAACAAAATGCTTTGTAAAAAGGCGTTTTTGATTTTTAATTTAATAAAGTAATTTTCTAGGAATTTTTTTTTGCCGTGCAAAAGCATATGACGTCAACAGTCAAACATTTATATTGGTTGCATTCATATATCTCTATATTAATCCCCCCCCCCCTTTTTAAACAAATATTTTACCAGAAAAGCTACATGGTGAAATGTTGTGATCGTTCAGCAGTTCAGAGTGTGTACTTTGTTGCTCTCGTAGTGTTAGACAAGGAACACATTTTTAAGTTTATTATTATGTATATGTGAAATTTATGTATGTACATTTGTTTATTTCATGATTACTTTGAGTTTTCTGGATTACTCCACACTAAATGTGTTTTATTTCATAAATGATGTGCTTTATTTCATAAATGCTGTGTTTTATTTCATAAATGTAGTGTTTTATTTTATAAATGTAGTGTTTTATTTCATAAATGTTGTGTTTTATTTCATAAATGTAGTGTTTTATTTCATAAATGTTGTGTTTTATTTCATTAATTTTGTGTTTTATTTCATAAATGTAGTGTTTTATTTCATTAATGTTGTGTTTTATTTAATAAATGTTGTGTTTTTGCATAAATGTTGTGTTTTATTTCATAAATGTAGTGTTTTATTTCATTAATGTTGTGTTTTATTTCATAAATGTTGTGTTTTTTCATAAATGCTGTGTTTTTTTTCAAAAATATTTGTTTTTTATTTCATAAATGTTTTGTTTTTTCATAAATGTTGTGTTTTATTTCATAAATGTTGTTTTTTATTTCATAAATATTGTGTTTTATTTTATAAATGTTGTGTTTTATTTCATAAATGTTGTGTTTTATTTCATAAATATTGTGTTTTATTTAATAAATGTTTGTTTTTTATTTCATAAATGTTGTGTTTTTTCATAAATGTTGTGTTTTATTTCATAAATGTTGTGTTTTATTTTATAAATGTTGTGTTTTATTTCATAAATGTTGTGTTTTATTTCAAAATTGTTGTGTTTTATTTCATAAATGTAGTGTTTTATTTCATAAATGTTGTGTTTTATTTCATAAATGTAGTGTTTTATTTCATTAATGTTGTGTTTTATTTCATAAATGTAGTGTTATATTTCATTAATGTTGTGATTTATTTTATAAATGTTGTGTTTTTGCATAAATGTTGTGTTTTATTTCATAAATGTGTTTTATTTTATAAATGTTGTGTTTTATTTCATTAATGTTGTGTTTTATTTCATAAATGTTGTGTTTTTTCATAAATGCTGTGTTTTATTTCAAAAATATTTGTTTTTTATTTCATAAATGTTTTGTTTTTTCATAAATGTTGTGTTTTATTTCATAAATGTTGTTTTTTATTTCATAAATATTTTGTTTTATTTTATAAATGTTGTGTTTTATTTCATAAATGTTGTGTTTTATTTCATAAATGTTTGTTTTTTATTTCATAAATGTTGTGTTTTTTCATAAATGTAGTGTTTTATTTCATAAATGTTGTGTTTTATTTCATAAATGTTTGTTTTTTATTTCATAAATGTTGTGTTTTATTTCATAAATGTTGTGTTTTATTTCATAAATGTTGTGTTTTATTTCATAAATGTAGTGTTTTATTTCATAAATGTTGTGTTTTTTTTCAAAAATATTTGTTTTTTATTTCATTAATGTTGTGTTTTATTTCATAAATGTAGTGTTATATTTCATTAATGTTGTGTTTTATTTTATAAATGTTGTGTTTTTGCATAAATGTTGTGTTTTATTTCATAAATATTGTGTTTTATTTTATAAATGTTGTGTTTTATTTCATTAATGTTGTGTTTTATTTCATAAATGTTGTGTTTTTTCATAAATGCTGTGTTTTATTTCAAAAATATTTGTTTTTTATTTCATAAATGTTGTGTTTTTTCATAAATGTTGTGTTTTATTTCATAATTGTTGTGTTTTATTTCATAAATTTGTGTTTTATTTTATAAATGTTGTGTTTTATTTCATAAATGTTGTGTTTTATTTCATAAATGTTGTGTTTTATTTCATAAATGTTTGTTTTTTATTTCATAAATGTTGTGTTTTTTCATAAATGTAGTGTTTTATTTCATTATTGTTGTGTTTTATTTCATAAATGTTTGTTTTTTATTTCATAAATGTTGTGTTTTATTTCATAAATGTTTTGTTTTATTTCATAAATGTTGTGTTTTATTTCATAGATGTTTGTTTTTTATTTCATAAATGTTGTGTTTTTTCATAAATGTTGTGTTTTATTTCATAAATGTTGTGTTTTATTTTATAAATGTTGTGTTTTATTTCTTTAATGTTGTGTTTTTATTTCATAAATGTTGTGTTTTTTTCATAAATGTTGTGTTTTATTTCAAAAATGTTTGTTTTTTATTTCATAAATGTTGTGTTTTCGATTGACGTATAGCTTTACCCCAGTGACCATCCCATTTTTCGGCCCTTCACACACCCCTGAGGGAAGTGTATTAAAATAATTTCTTATCTTTATATTCCTGACGCCTTTATGTTATCAACTTTTGCCAACACGTCTTCAAATTTTTTTTAACGTTAAGTACTGAGACACTTTATACAGCGTCGCTTTTGATATTCATCAATATCATATTGTGGCGCAGCACAAGTCCTGAAGTCTTTCAAATGGTTTTCTCTGTAATAGAGCTAGCCACCCATTGATGCAAACGTATAAACAGGTGAGAACAAAATATTCTAAAATTACCATTTTTGGCGTGTCAAACTATTGCATTTCTCTTTGTACTTTTCCACATGGCCCCGCGCAAGCTTTAGTCGCGGTAATTTGACGGTGTCGTACTCCGAAAGCTTCTGTCTCACGTCCTTGGTCATGAGGAACGATTGCAGTTCCCCTGTAAACCTAAGCTGTAGTTCGGTGATCCATTCATCTTTTGTAATTTTCTTTTGAGTAGCTATGTGCTCGAAATTTACTATGCATTCGTGCAGTTCGTGTAATTTGGGTCAAGCAAAGTTCAAGTACGGGACAATATTGTACTACATAACAGCCACGCAATGACAAATAACAAAATAGTTGAGATCACAAGCAACAGTTTTTGCCCCCACTGACACAGGAAATAGGCTACTTCCTTTTTTAAAAATCAAGTTAGGATTTAAGGTAATTCCGGTGTCAATCGCTTACATTGAATGCCCCGATCTAGGTCAGTGTGAAGTTTTCATTGTTTTAATTGTGGGAAGTTTTCATTGTGTGAAGTTTTCATTGTTTTAATTGTGGGAAGTTTTCATTGTGTGAAGTTTTCATTATGTGAAGTTTTCATTGTGTGAAATTTTCATTGTTTTAAATAAATTTGTTTTTAGACAAATTTGCGGTTATGTGCATAACACGACTCGCACATTCTCAACAAAAAAAAACCAACAAAAAAACCAACAAAACAATACTACATTCGAACGTTATAACATTATTTGTAATTCGATAAACAAAACTATTTTATTTGATATTTTTAGTTGTTTTTTTTTTCAATTTTTTTTTTTTTTTTTTTTTCTTTTTTTAGTTTTTTTTTTTTTCAAGTTTTTTTTTTTTTTCTTTTTAAAATTATAGTAATTTCCATTTAATTTCGCATTTAATTTTTGAATAACTTTACAGAAGTTCAAACATTTACAGAGATGTTTTAAACCAAGGGTTAATCTATGAATGACGTCAGCTTTGCGTTAACGTTTAAACGAAAAAAAAATAAAACTCTAAAAATACATCCTCACATGTTCGTGACCCCCGTCACTGGTTCTGGTGGTGTTCGTTGCTGCATCCATGTATTGGCATCTTTGCAACGTTTGTGGGTATGATGTTGCTATTCTAACAGCTCTTAGCTGATGCCAGGGCAGCTTTGAAGCTTTCGACCGATGTCAAGTTCACAGTGGCATCGTTCAGGTGGTTCCATGCTATTATTGTGCATGGGAAGAAAGATTGTTGATACTGCACTGTGTTGAACTGAGGCACTTTGAAGCATTTGCTATTGTTTCGGGTATAATTTTTTGTGGGATTGTCAGTGGTGAAGTAAGTGTTCAGTGAGCGTTTTGCTCTAATCAGTCTACCCGGCTTCTGTGTGGTGAGGTACGTGCCTCCTGGAATGGCCGGCACAAGTCCCATGATCACTTTATATAAGAATATCAGACAGGGTCCCCATCGTCTGTCTTTAAAGGGGGAGGGGATGTCAAATCTTTTTAAGAGGCCAGTGACACAGCCAGGAGTGGTGGATTTGAAGTCTCGAGCGATAAAACACACCGCGTTACGTTGAATTCGCTCCATCGTGTCCACGTCTTGCTTAAGGTGTGGGTCCCAGATGATCGCACCATATTCCAGTAGTGGACGGACGAGTGCGAGATAGCATTTCGTTTGCATGAAGTCTCTTTTAATAAATACTTGACGTCATTTAAAATAAAATAATATGAAATCATTTTTTACTTAATAATAAATATTTAAATGAAGCTAGTGTTAGTGCCGCCAAGATGGCGTAGCTAGTGTAAAGTGCGCCAAGATGACGTAGCTAGTGTAAAGTGCGCCAAGATGACGTAGCTAGTGTAAAGTGCGCCAAGATGACGTAGCTAGTGTAAAGTGCGCCAAGATGACGTAGCTAGTGTAAAGTGCGCCAAGATGACGTAGCTAGTGTTAGTGATGCCATGACAGCGTAGCAAATATAAGTGCCTCCCGGGATGGTTTAAGACTTTTCCCCTCCCTCCACAAAAAAAAATCTACAGTCGACCAAAAAGGGCGCATTTCCGAATAATAAATAAGGGCCCCCAGGGCACGACCCACACGAAATTTGAGAACCCCATTCTAAATCTACTGGGCTAAATACAAGATTAGGAGTTACAAATAATTAATTTAAGGAGATGATTTGAAAAAGGAATACAACAAATTTATACTCTTATTGGAAAGTGGGGTGGGGGGTAAGCTTCTATTATATTTGTTTTATTATTAGTGATCTTTTATAACGTGGTACCCAATCCTAGGACTCAGTGGTTTTATAAGACGCGGCACACCAGTCTAGGGCTGGCCTCACCACGCTTTACATACAAATATTAGCAAACATAATCATGGTATTTAAAATAATATACATTTATTTAATTTAAACAAAAAATATTTATAAAAAAAAAACAAAGACAAAAGTATAGTCAACCCACCGATTCCAGAACTATTTATTTTCATGTAGCACCTCAATAATGCCTCAACATATCACAATAATGCCTCTACATATCACAATAATGCCTCTACATATCACAATAATATCTCCCATAACCACAATAATATCTCCCCATACCACAATAATATCTCCCAATACAACAATAATATATCAACCATACCACAATATCTCCCAATACAACAATAATATTTCCACATACCACGATATCTCCCAATACAATAATAATAT